CATTTGTAAGTATATTAAAAGTATCCATCTCTTTTTATGCTAAAAAGAAGAAAATGATTCCCAGGGGAGAATGTAGAGGAGTTTTTATAAAATCATTTTTATTCAGGATTGTAGAAATGACTTATCCTATTTCAATTATTATTTTGCTTGTAGTCAAATTTTATTTTGGCCTCTGTTTTAAAAATGAAATGGTTATTTCAGAAATCTGATCAACCAATTGTGTAGTCCATCTTTATTCTTAAAAAAAAAGGATTTTTAAAAGGAATTATTGGATTTTCAAAGTATACAATAAAAAGGCTCTAACCCCCCCCTTTTGCTATATTAGCTTTTCCCTCAATATATTCTACATATGACTCTCTGTGTGTGTGTGTGTGTGTGTGTGTGTGTAGTTTAGTTGGTATTTTGATTGTGGGGTAAATAATCCACTAACTATAGCATTGAGGTTTTTTAAAAAAGTTTTATGCTTCCTTTTTTTATGTCATTTCCCGATATACTCCCCCTATTGAAATCCTTCTTCATAACAGAAAAATTCACTTGGTAAAACAATCATGTAGAATGAATATACAGCATTTCCCACCTATACAGAAGTTCAGTTCACACAAAGCTTTTAATTTTAAAGGGTCCAGAGGTTGATTATCTTCTCAGATACTTAGCAACATTTAAGACAGAGAGCATAATACCTTTTTAGATACTCAAATACATGCTCAGATATGATTGCTTATCTTTATTTCTTCCATAAACTTCTTCTGTTATATCCCAACTGAGATTTACTGTCCTTGGTTAATTATTGCTTCTCCAATTGGCCAAGCATCTTTTTTTCCCCCTATTCTTTCATTCTCAAGTTAGTTGCCACTATAATTGGCTGCTCTCTTTAATCTGTCATCCAAATTCTTGACAACAATGGTTAAGTAGTGCCTGATCCAGAAGTGGGCATTAAAAAAAGCATTCCAAGAAAAGTAGTTGTGAAATCACCCCCCCCTTTTTTTTTTTTTAATAATTTACGAGGTATAGGAGCATAGATTTAGAGATAAGCAGGACTTTAGAATTGGGAAGGTCTATTATACTGAGATCTTAGAGATCATCAAGTTTAAATCCCAAGTTGTATTTTACCAACCTGGTAGGCAGTAAGACAGTGAAAAAGAGTGTTTTGGAGTGAGGACTTTCGGGATTTGAGTCTGGAGTCTGAATCCTAGCTATGACCTTGGGCAAATCACTTAACCTTTGTGGGCCTTAGTTTTCTCATCTCTAAAATGAGTATTTTAAGTTCTTAAGTATGAGGACAGGAGTTGGAATGAACCTGGAAATATGAAAAGTTGTTAAGTGAGGCTAGAAGTTTTCTTGAGAAGTAAGGAATATATGAATATACAACAGTGGCAACGTTCTGAATCACAGGATTCAGAAAAATTAGAGGCAGGAATTTGCACCCTCATTAGAATGCAGCTAAGGAAATTATGAGTAAATGTTCCAGGGTGATATCTAGACCAGGGTTAATATTTTTTGTGTCGTAAACCCCTTTGGCAGTCTGGTCAAGTCTATGGATCCCTTTTCAGAATAATGTTTTTAAATTAATAAAGTGAAATATGTAACTGAATAACTGAAATACAGTTATTATTAAAGAAAAAAAAATTCACAAACCCCAGGTTAAGAATTCTGCCCTAGATAATTGCAAATAGAAATATTAGGATTATAGGATAATAGATTTAGAGCTTCAGTGGACCTTAAAAGTCAACCACTGCAATTCCTAATTTTTGTGGATGAAAAAAGTAAAGCCCAATTACTTGCCCAAGGTTGCATAAGTAATTGAATATGGGAGCTGAAATTCTAGCATTGTTTATCTTATTACAAATCCAGTGTCTTTTTCACTATATAATGCTACTTTTCAGTAAGCAACTTCTTTGGATCTTGAGATAAGCCCTGTGTGGCGTTGTTACATGGAGATGTGTAGCCACTGAGATGTTCATCAGACTGGTGGTTGGTGGTATAGGTTCTAAGTTGTTACCGAATGTGGCAACTTAAAACTTTGAAGAATTAGCCAGGATGTGTTGATACACAAAATCACGTGTTTGTGGAGGTATGGTGTCAGGAATTCAGAATCCAATGCAGTAGTCTATAATCAGTCAGCATTTATTAAGTGCCTACTGTATGCCAGGCACTGCTAACTGCTATGGATACAAATATGAAAAAAAGAAAGACAGCCCCTTGCTGTCAAGGAACTTACATTGTAATGGAGGAAGACAATACACACAGGAAGATGAAAAGGGGGTGGGGGGTGGGGGGGGCAAGGTCAGAGAAGTGTCAAAGTAGTGCAGCCACGTGGGAAATGAGGAAATACCAATTCATTTCTTCCACACAACTTGCCTCTTTCGTATATCGTGTCAGTCACCACTACTTAAATGCACTTTTCCTTAGTTGCCTACATCCTCTGCTGCACCCAAAAAACAACGAACTAGTGAAGAATATGGTCCTGGAATCTGAGACACTGTCCATTTATTCTGATCCATATCTGAGTGAGAATCCCCTCTTAAGACATGCCTGACAAGTAATTAGTCAGCCTTTGATTGAAAAATTCCAGTGCAGGGAATCCACTACCACCTGAAGTATCCCATTTGTAAGAGATTTTTTTTTTCTCATATCAAGCTAAAAATGCCTTTCTACAATTTCTATCCATTATTCCTAGTCTTACATTGTGGGGCTAAGGAGAGCAAATCTGATCCCTTTTCCATATGACATTCTTTCACATTCTTGAAGCCAGCTATCGTATTCCTCATTCCTCCTTGCCCCCATCTTTTAGGCTAAATACTACCAGTTCTTTCAACCAATCTTCATATGGTTTGATTGCAAAGAAATTGTTAACCCCAAGACTGTCAACCAAAATAATTTTTAAAACTTTTTAATAATATTTTATTTTCCCCAATTACATGTTAAAACAGTTTTTAACTCTTTTTTTAAATTTTGAGCTCCTAACTCTATCCCTTCTTCCCTCCCTCCCCTCCCCCTCTACCCTACCTAAGATAGTAAGCAATTCGATATAGATTATACGTGTGCAGTCATGTAAAACATTTCCGTATTAATCGTTTTGTACAAGAAGACTCAAAAGGCATGAAAGAAAGAAGGAAGGAAGGAAAGAAAGAGAACAATAGTATGCTTCAGTCTGTATTCAGATAGTATCAGTTCTTTCTCTGGAAGTGGATAGCATGTTTCATCATGAGTTCTTTGGGATTGTCTTAGATCGTCATATTGTTGAGAATAGCTAAGTCGTTCATAGTTCTTCATCATACAATATTACTGTTACTGTGTACAATGTTTTCCTGATTCTGGTCACTTCACTTTGTATCAGTTCATGTAAGTCTTTGCAGGTTTTTCCTGCTTGTCATTGCTTATAGCATACTAGTACTACATCACAATCACATACCACAGTTTGTTCAGTCATTCCCCAATTGATGGCCATACCCTCAATTTCCAGTTCTTTGCCACCACAAGAAGAGCTGCTATAAATATTTTTGTACAAGTAGGTCCCTCCCCTTTCCCCCTTTTTTAAAAAATTTCTTTGGGATATAGACCTAGTAGTGGTATTGCTGGATCAAAGGATATGCCTAGTTTTATAGTTCTTTGGGCATAGTTCAAATTGCTCTCCAGATTCAACCAAAATACTTTTAATCAAAGTTATTGAGGTATGGTAGAACCAAGCCCTCGACTTAGAACAATAACATCTAGGCTCAAATATTGGTTCTAGCAATTACTTTCTGGCTTTTCTGGTAGGTCATTTCACTTCTCAAGGCTCAGATCCTTATAAAATGGAAGTAACGATACTCATACTATCTACTGTATAGAGTTGCCATATATAAATATGAGTTTCCTCTCTGTATATTGGACATTGCTCTTGTAGCATATTTTGAGTGCTTTTTTTTTCTTTTAGCAACTCATTCCTTTTAGCAGTTCTTTTTCTTCCTTTTTAATTGACAGACCATTATCTACAATCTTGGCATTGACCATATGGTGTGCCTGTTTAACATTTCAAAGTTGTCATAAATCCTAGACTTTTTTTCTTTCTTTTTTTTTTGGTCTGAGCATAATGAGTTGCCCTAATAGGTTTTTTAAAAATCTCTTTACAAGGTTTTTCTTTTCATACTATTTGGGTAACCCGAAATCTCAAGATACCAATTGTGCCATGCAAGTGCATTAATCCTTGAATTAACCTTTATATTTAGCGAATAAAACAAGAAAATATGTTTTGGTTATTCTTGGTGCTATTAAGTATCTTTTTTCCTCTTTTTCAGATAGAGATCATAGGATTATGGGATCATAGATCTAGATAAAATGAAAGTTTTTTTTAAAAAAATTTGATTCATAAGAGCTTATTTTACAAAGAATATTCCAGGTTTCTGGTTGAAAATATTTCAGTTAGAATTACCACAGAGAAATGCTTTTTAGTTAGACAAAACTAAAATCAAAATGCATAGTATGGCTACCAATCCAAGGAGCTATGGTCAACCAGAATTGTTTTCTTCTTAATCTGATCATCCCTGATTTATATATATTGTGTATGCTTTCTATTATAAGGTAATTAATTTGGAGTTACACCATGATTTATCAAAAATGATACTTTTTGTGGGTTTTTTTTAAAGTTGCCAGCTTGTTGAAACATATAATAAAAACAATTTTGTTTTTGTTCTTATTGCACATCTCAGAACTCAACATATTTGCTGAACACATTAGCAGTTTTTCATTAGGATTTGTGGAAAGAAAGATTTCATATGTTCACATGAATCACTTTTCTTTGGTAATATATGCAAATTTCATTAGAGAAATTCGAAAATAATTTCTTCATGTTCTGGGACATTTTATTTTATCATAACTCAAAGTCTTGTGTTGTTACATTGAGATGCACATCCATTGATGTGTGTATCTATTGGGATGGATATGTCAATGTTTAAGAAGTTACTTGTGTTACTTCTGATTGAAGCAGTAAACTGTGTTTGTCTTCTTCTAAAACTTAACAGCAAGAGACCGCCACTGCCCTGAAGCGCACGATTCAAGCCCTAATGGATAAAGGTGCAGTAGTGAGAAATTTGGAAAACCTGGGTGAAAGGGCCCTTCCATATAAGATCTCCGTACATAATCAACGCCATCACAGAGGAGGGTAGGTTCTGCTATATTGCCTGCAAAACATCTTTAGTATAAGCTAGCTTAATAGATAGTACTATTTAGTTCGACCTAGAGATTCCTGTCATTGTATGCATTGTAACAAATTAATTATAATAATGTGATTTCATTAGCTTAGGGAGCTGTAATGCAGCTCCTGTCTGGAGCGTGTTTTCACATGACTGTATAAGTGTATTTACTTCCTGTTGCAATATTGTGTTGTTTTTGTTTTTGTTTTTTTATTGTCCAACCAGATAATTTCATTGATATAGGGAGTTCCCAATGAGGAAGTTCCTTTACTAACACTGATAAAGCACTCCTGTGCAATGATTGGAAAGAGGATTTACAGTAATTCATGTTTTCACTGTCTCCATGTCCAGCTCCCTGTGCATTATGCCACACTGCCTCTCTAAGTACAAAAATAGATCGTGTTGGGGGTTGAAATTATGTGGAACCATATGATTTAGAGCTTTTTTAAGATTAAATTTATTTTTAATTTATGGGATAAAACAAGCATTTCTATAACGTAATATAATTCAAAGAAAAAGATTGCACCTTAAACTGCAAATCTATTATGTACAACTTACTATTTCTTTTAAAGTTATGCCAATTTCTTCTTTCCCCCTCCTTTTTTTTTTTCTTAAGATTTAGAGCTGAAAGGGATCTTTGAGATCACTTAGTCTAATTATCATTTTAGAGATGACGGAACTGAGACCTAGAGAGATGATGTGGTAAGGTCATACAGGTGGTAAGCATCTGACTCAGAATTTTGGTTCAGGTCCCTTGATTTGTTGTTTGTTGTTTAAGTGTGGCTTGTACCCAGTGATTTCCAAGGTGCCTTCTAATTCTGAGGTGCTGATGCCCAATCCAGTGCTCTATCCTTCTTTCTTGATGAAAAGCAACACAGTCTTTGTGGTTGTTTGTTGCACTGATCAGAGTACTGAAGTCCTTCAAAGTTATTTGTCTTTACAATGTGATTGTTATTTTGTAAGTTCTCCTGGTTCTGCCCACTTTACTCTGCATCAGTTCATTTACCACCTTTCTGAAGCAAATCTTTTTTTTAAAATTTTAGGCAACTGGGGTTAAGTGACTTGCCCAGGGTCACACATCTAGTAAGTGTCAAGTGTTTTGATCTGAGGTCGTATTTGACCCCAGGTCCTCCTGACTCTAGGACAGGTGCTCTATCCACTACGCCACCTTGCTGCCCCTTCTGAAGCAAATCTTGAAGATTTGATGCTATAGTGTTAGATTAGGTCTAAAAGACTATCTTAATGTTTCTGTAAATTATGCCATGTCTGGTGGAATTCTGCTTCTTTTTTCATACACCCCATTTTTACTCATCTGAGGATAAACCTACATATTCTCTGGATGAGAGTGGAAGGGGGAGCCAGGGAAGACAGGGGAGATAATGTAGAAGTCAGATGTTAGGACTGCCTATGGCATGTTATACCAAGCTATTCTTCCTGTGGGATTGGAGCTGTGTATAATGCATAAGACATTTTCCTTCTCTCCATGTGCCAAAGTGTGGAAAAGATGATTCTTCCCAAAAGGAAAGCTTGAGACTTGGTGATGCAGAATGAGGCACTGGATTGAGTTTTTGTATTGTATGTAAACCTTCAGTCATAGCCACGTACTGTAAATTCCATCTTCTGGTTGTTTAACCTTGTTAAACAGTAAAAAGCTAATGTTCAGCTCCTCAAGCAACTCTGAAATGAATGCTGGTGCTTAGTAAGGTCTGAGAGATGTTGCTAGGCAACTTGTAATTCACAGAGGCTATCCCATCTTGTGACAGTCAAAATAACAATAAAGGGTTTTTTTTTGTTTCTGTTAAAAACAAACAAACAGAAAACCCATAAACAGGATTGTTTTTAATATCAAGGATGTAAACCTTTTTCACTCCCAGATGCTGGCTCATAGAATCATTAACCAATCTCTGCCTGAATCCATCCTTGTTGTGTATAAAGTAGGGACAGCCTTATTTCCATCATTCTCAGATAATGTGGAGTGACTGCCCTCATGGTTGCCCCACTTGTTACGTATCATGGCATGATACTGACTCACCTCATATAGGAGCTGGCTTCATCCCTTGCTGGTGGATCCACCCTGTCATAAAGGAGTCCTGTCTGAGTCACTTGGATGGGTCATGAGTCTTAATGTGGGTCATCTTAATACAAGAACCAAATTTTTTCAGAGATAATTCTAATTTCAGATTCCTGCCATGGTCTGAGATAAAAACCAGATGGAGGTGATGGATAGGCCTCCATTTTGTGTATATTGTATTCAGTACTGCTTTGAAAACCTATGTTCTCTAGGTCTGAAGGCAGTGGGGTAGATGAGGGAGGTTTTTTTTACTGAAATATCTGCTAACTAAAAAATTCCTTCCAAATCCAGGAGCTTCAGAACAAATCTCAGTACTAATAGTTATAATGCTTCATTTCTTTTTTTGAAGCCCTTTCTGACTTGTCATCTCATTTTGTTCTTACAACATTCCTCTGTGTTGTGCTAGATATTATCTCCATTTTACATACAGCAAAAATTTAGGCTCAAAGAGGGTACATTCAGCAACTTTATTTCCTTTTCCAAAATAATTTAGTCTTAGCTCATGTATAAGGGAGAATTCTTAAGTGAGCATTTTATTTCCAGGGACAGACATTTACAAAATGAGAAACCAAATGTAGCATAAAGGGGTGTGTGTGTGTGTGTGTGTGTGTGTGTGACAGAGATAGAGACAGAGACACAGAGAGGGAAAGAGAAATAGAAGCAGAGAGGAAGAGGGAGAGGCGGAGATTTGTCTTTGATAAATGGATCTTCAATTCTGATTTGCAAAAAACATTACTCTTCTTGGGGAAGAATTTTGACTCTTGGTTTTTATTCTTTGGCTGTTGGAACCTATTGGGATGAGACATCATAAGATCATAGATTTAGAGTTATGAAGAACATCAGATCCCATCTAATCCAACCCCTCATTTTTATGATTGAGGACACTAAGATTTAGGGAAGTTAAATGACTTGCCTACGGCCACACAGATAATCGGTGTCAGAGGTGGGCTTCCGACCTTGGTGTTCTTGACTTTGAGTTCCTTCTATATATTCTGCCTTCAACCAGGTGGTCTCTGGTGTTTATTAAATATAACAAATGATTGATTTATGTCTAAAACAAAACTCTTGGCATCATCACATTTTATACATTAGTACAGACAATTTCCATTTTACAAATAATTTTTTTTGTAGCAAAATTGTGTTTATAAACCAACTGTCTGAAACTCAGAACTCATTTCCTTACATAAAAATATGTACATGATGATTATGTTCTCAGGCTTGCCCAGTCAGTTAACAAGCATTTATTAATCACCTGCTATGTAACAGGCACTGTGTTAGGTGCTAGAAATACAAGAAAAATGCAACAATCCTTACTTTGAAGAGGGTAACATTCCATTGTTTCCATTCTTTCACAGTAGTATATAGAGTTAAGGGATATATTTCTATAAGCAAATGCAGATAACATTGTTCAACATAAGGTAGTTTTCAAAGGGAGGTGCTAAAATAAGGGCAGCCAGGAAAGACTTTATGAGGAAGGTTGTGCTTAAGCTGCATCTTTGAAGGAAGAAGGATTCTGTGAGGAGGGGCTGAGGATGGAGTGCATACCAGGCATGAGGAATGGCTAATTTGGCTAAACTATAGAGTGCAGGAATGCGAGTCATGTATTTTGAGGCCAGAAAGATAAGCTGGGATCAGATGTGAAGGAATTTAAATGCCAGAGGATTGTCCTAGAGACAATAAGGAGACAGTTAATCGAGTTTATTATAGTTTATTGAGTAGGAGAGTGACCTCGTTAGATCAGTGCTCAAAGGAAATCAGTTTAGTGGCTGTGTAGAATTGATTGGAGGGGAGAGTGCTTGAGTTCATAGCATTTGAAGAGGTGGAAGAACTGGGTGGTGAGGATGTTTCGTCACCAATATGAATGTTGAAATCCCCTAGTGTAAGGTCAGGAATTGCAGAGGAGAAGAAAAATAAGAATGAACCTCAAAGGAGGAGGGGTTGCTGAGCAGTGACAGCAAAGAGAGAATCTGAAAGTGTCCATGAGGGGAGGAAGGAGTATTCTGATTCTTTCCCTAGGACCAGTGAATAGAGGAATGTGAGAATAGGGTACAGCTGGTGCTAGAGAGTATGGCCAGGGGTGCAGTGTCATCTGGGGGTAGTCGGGTCTTAATACAGGTTGATAAAAGAAGTATTGGAGGACGAGATCCAAAATGAAAGGAAGATTATTTATTCCGAAACAGGAATTTCAGAGAGCACAGTGGAAGGAGAAGCATAACTGGAGTGATATGTGAGAGGGGTGGGGTTCAAGAGGATGAGGGTGAAAGAAAATGGAGCTGAAGTTTGGGGACAGATTACTCCTAAGCAGCCAGTAGTTAAGTAATAAAGAAATAAGGAGCTAGGTAGGTGGCATAATTGATAGACCTACCCAAATTCACGTCTTGTCAAAAACATTTACTAGCTCTGTCATTCTGGGCAAATCATTTAACATCTGTCTCAGTTTTCTCATCTGTAAAATGGAGATAGTAATAGTACCTACCTACAGTTCTGTTGTGAGGATAAAACAAGAAAATATTTATAAAGAGTTTTGAATACGTTAAAGGGCTGTATAAATGCTAGCTGTTTTTATGGCTATTATGAAGTATACATAGGTATATGAGTTACTTGGGCCAAAGTGACATAATTAATTGTGACACAAAACAAATCTCATGATTTTTTACATATTTAAAATATTTTTAATATGTTATGTTTTCTTTTTTACTGCAATCTCTTATTTCATGTTTTTTTTACAATATTTTGATATACATTCCTTTAATTCATCATGAAATTTACACTTTTTAAAAAACATTCTATTTTAAGGGTATCATTGATAAATTGTTCTTTTTTCCATGTCTACATTTGATTGTAGCTCATAGGTTTTCTTTGTAGTTTAAATTCTACCTCTTGTTCTACCAATATGCA